CAAACGTTGGTCCCAACAATTTTTTTCTTTAGAAAATATAGACAACCCCCCTCCCCCCAATTGATGACAAAGGGGCCTTTCTATGGCTTCTGCTTACAATATAAAAAGTGATCCTATCAATGGATCATGAGATATTCTCAATTTTACATACCTAACTTTTTCTTTGGTGATGAGAATCTGGGACACCTTTGCCCAAGATTCATATATCACGCACTGATGCACAAGCTTCTGGTGCAAAGAGTGACTTCAAAAAACCTAACTCCTAAATTCACAAATGGATTTACTTCAGAAACAAGTATTTCTTTTGGCTTTACTTTATGCCTTGAATAAAAAAAGGGATCACATATAATCCTGGCAGAAAACCTTGCTAGTGTACAAACACTTTTTTTTTAAATCAGATTTAAGGTTTTCAGTCCTCTTTCAGTTCTGGTGGTACTTACCATTCAGCGTAAGGAGGGATTCGGTCTTGGTATTTCCGTCCAGCCACAGAGACGTGGACATTGTCATAATGCGTGTCCGGATTATATCCATTCACTCTGATGGCGAAAGTCCTCATTTCTTCGATAACGGTATTGTTTAGAGCTTCGAACGCCGTTTGCGAAGACACCATATATGTGTGTTGCACTCGATAAACCAGGGAGTCTCTGACCTGGATTCCATTTGACAGCAAAAAGAGACAAAAACACAGGATTTTGAGTAAAGGTTTTCTAAATTCAGCAACAAATTTCAAGAAAAACAGATTTATCATAAACCAATTAAAAAATACTGTTTGGAGATTCTTTATAGCTGGGTCTTTTAAAAATTACTGAAACAGATGCAGGAATGCTTTGATGGCAAATAATGCTTCAATGATTTCCGAAGTTTAAAATTATTCTGAAAATTAAAATAAAATTAAGCAATATATAAACAATAAGGGCAACGAAAATCGTACGCAGATTTTAACTAATCAGCATGTTCACGACTTTTTTGGATTAGAACTCGCTACTCTAGTGATCAACTAAATCAAGCAGTATAAATATGATTGGAAAATGCAAAATGCAATGCATGAAAATTCCAATAAAATTCTCACCCTTTGCAAAAGTTCAATCGTTGTCTCATTGCTGGTCAAAAAGACTATGGACACGTTGGTGGAGAATTCGACGCTTTGTCCAACTTTCGACTGCAACTAAATCAATCAAATAATCAAAACAAACAAGATTTTCATTCCGAAAACGGATTTTAAAATTTTTTTCTACATCATTCAATTTTAGTTTGAAATCGAATGTTTTTTTTTTTCGAACCATGCCGAGAATGTGGTTGAGGAGAGTTTCGTTGTAGCTCAGCTCATCTGACTCGGAAACTTGCCAATATACATAAGGGATGTGGTTGTTTGAAAACTGCTGCTCAAATACAGAAACTTCCCACGCAACTGAAAAATAAATTCATCGAATAATCTTTTTAATGGCAAATTCATGGCATTTCAATTAAAAATGTAGAACATTTTCTAATTGGTGTAATTGCAGTATAAATACATTGGTTAATGCATCACCAGAGCACCTTATTTTTTCATATGCCCAGGATTCCACAGCTACAGAAATGAGCTTCAAAATGATTTGCTGGGACTCTTAGAATTTAATGAAGAAAGTCTTTCCAAAATTGTAGAGGACCAAGATTGTTAAACTTTTAACTTTATATGATTTCTCATCAGAAATTCTTTTCAAAATATTCAATCAATTAAATCTTATCTGGGAGTAGGCTATTGTGGAACACGAAATTAAACCTAAGTCATTAACGGAATACGACGTAAAGAATAATGACTGTAGAACAAAAACAATAGTCCCTTCCCGTCTTCCACATACCTAAATCTAATAAACACGTTAACATGTTTTTGAGATGTATTTTCTTTTTCTTTTAATATCCATGATCAGCTTATTTCTCTGTTCTCCATTCTGATTTGATGGAATTTGCTTGGATGAATGTGGGTGGGGAGGGGAGGGGGTTTTGATGTGGGAACATTGCTTGAACCTTAATTGTAAACACTGAAAAGCAGAAAATTAAGCTTGCTGTTCAATTCAATTCAATCAAAAATATATATTTATCTTCAGAATATTTCTTTATTTTAAATCTTCCAATTCATTCCTAATCCAGAGGACTGTGTTTTGAAATAACAAATGAAGAATTTTCACAATTTTTGTGATTTCATTTTATATCAGCACAAATGAATGGATTCTTCAACAACTTATTTTTTCACATGGCAATAAACTTTAACTTCTCAATAATTCGAAAACATGTATCCTGGAAATTTTTTTTTTTTTTTACTTCAGTTTAGAACTCAGCTCAAAAAAGGTGTTCTTCAATCGTCTTCTTTGCTCTCAATTTTTAAAATTATTAAGTATTCTGAAATTCCTTACTAATCGAGATGAGAACTTCAAAAAAAGTAAACCAGAATTTTCATTATTATTTTTTGAATGCAAATTGTGACCTCATCATTATAGAACTCAGCTCAAACGCTGTATTTTCTTTATCGATCAACTCGTTCGCTATACATTTTTCTTTGTCAAATACTGTATACAAGAAAAGTGACTCACAAGCTTGAGCCAGAGACTACTCTTGGTGCAGAGCCTTACCTCGTAAAGATTACTAAAGGTCGTGACGAACTATAAGAGGAAGTAGGTGTCTTGGGTGTAGGAAGCTGTACTACAGTATAGGTCTTCTACATCCAAAAACTATCCAGACAAACACCAACAAAGTCAAGCCTTTTCCACGAGTCATGTTTCCTATTCTTTCTAGAACAGGAAAATGTCTGCCAATTTTTGTTGGATACCTTTTGAAACATGACTCGAAAGATTATAGATGAAAAATTGAACATCGCTGATCGAGGGTTTGGCATGGCTCATTTCCTGCGTACCTTGGAAATGAGCAGAGACTTTTTTTCGCTTATTTTTGCGCGAGGAAGTTAATGATCCTTGAAAGAAACTAATGATCCGGTGAGCAATCAACGTTAATTTATATCAATCTTTTAAAGTAATCATTTTGTATATTTCTCTCCTACACATGATGGAAAAAGATGCAACAACAATTATTGAAAAACATTGTTTCTAATTTTTTTAAAGGAGAAATTAATTGAAAATCATTCGATGCGATTGAAAAGTTTTGAATAAAATTGACGTGGTTCCTCAACAGAAATTATTACTGCCGTAAAATTTGTGAAAACTTACGTTTCGAACAAAGATCTCCATGAAAAATTTCAAATGAATGCGTAAAATTATTGGTAATATTTTTTCATTTTTTTGCAATACGTTCGCAAAAATTGTTTCCCAGCAGTGATGAATAAGTAAAAAATTGTGCATTCTTCCGTCGATTAATTTCAATTTCCCGGTTAAAATTTAAAGCATAATTTCTCGATAATATGACACTAAACATTCTCGATTCTTATTATGTCAACAAAATTTCTTCCGAGTTTCCCGAATCGAAGCCGCAGAAAATTCAAGGATTCGAAACGAGTCATGATCAAAGGCTTTCCGCATGATTCCGAGTCAAGTTTTCAAATTTCAAGCCGAAACCGAGCTTGAAATTCCTTCGGCATGCTTTTCGTGTCGAAGAAGAAGAACTCGGTCTCTGATGAGAACCACGTCTCGGAATGGAGCATTTCTAATGATTTCCAGCACTGCTTGATATTCTCCTTCATCCACAGAACCCACATCCTTCGACATGATGTCATATCCAGAAGATGTCCCAAAAACTATCCAAACATACACCAACAAAGTTAAGCCTTTTCCACGAGTCATGTTTCCTATTCTTTCTAGAGCAGGAAAATGTCTGCTAATTTTTTCGGATACCTTTTGAAACATGACTCGAAAGATTATAGATGAAAAATTGAGCATCGCTGATCGAGGGGTTGGCATGGCTCATTTCCTGCGTACCTTGGAAATGAGCAGAGACTTTTTTTCGCTTATTTTTGCGCGAGGAAGTTAATGATCCTTGAAAGAAACTAATGATCCGGTGAGCAATCAACGTTCATTTATATCAATCTTTTAAAGTAATCATTTTGTATATTTCTCTCCTACACATGATGGAAAAAGATGCAACAACAATTATTGAAAAACATTGTTTCTAATTTTTTTAAAGGAGAAATTAATTGAAAATCATTCGATGCGATTGAAAAGTTTTGAATAAAATTGACGAGGTTCCTCAACAGAAATTATTACTGCCGTAAAGTTTGTGAAAACTTACGTTTAGAACAAAGATCTCCATGGAAAATTTCAAATGAAGACGTAAAATTATTTGTAATATTTTTCCTTTTTTTGCAATACTTTCGCAAAAATTGTTTCCCAGCAGTGATGAATAAGTAAAAAATTGTGCATTCTTCCGTCGATTACTTTAAATTTCCCGGTTAAAATTTAAAGCATAATTTCTCGATAATATGACACTAAACATTCTCGATTCTTATTATGTCAACAAAATTTCTTCTGAGTTTCCCGAATCGGAACCGAAGAAAATTCAAGGATTCGAAACGAGTCATGATCAAAGGCTTTCCGCATGATTCCGAGTCAAGTTTTCAAATTTCAAGCCGAAACCGAGCTTGAAATTCCTTCGGCATGCTTTTCGTGTCGAAGAAGAAAATTCGTTGGGAAAGTCACGCTTCCCGGATTTCACGTTGAAACAATCGCAACGAATTCCTGTTTTACCCAGAAAATCAACATCACGGCACACAAAAGATTTGATTGTGCCTCGCTGACATCCAACCATTTTTTGAAATACCGGTTTTTTTAAGTTGAAAAAAGTTGTAAAAAGAAACTGTGAATAGGGTACATATGCTTGTCTACAGCGTGTGCCAAAAAATTTCTTCGGTCTAAAAACATAAATATTTCGTGGACGGTTGAAGCAGTATTAGTGTGGAATATGTCAAAAGAAAGTTTATCATTTTTTGCAGGATGTTAAATTTTATCGCTTAATTCCGTACTACACTGACTGGATCCATTACTCTCATTGTATTTTTTTCTGATTCACCCTGTACACAGATAAAGAAAGGCGAAATGAGGGTTCGACGCCTTGAAGTGGATCGTCGTCGCTTGATGATCGGCTCGATTGTAAGCATTGTTGTCATGAGTTTCCTGAGCGTCTCTGTCGCTGACGAACATCCGACGAGTGACGAGGATCCAGTGACGTGTCATAATAATAATAATAATAACAAGGGAGGCTGTCAGTGTTGCCTGAGTTGCAGCGACGCTCCGCAGGTATAACCACAGGCAATTTTTAAAAGTGTCTTCAGTAATTTCTCCATCTTTACTTCAATTCTTCATTGCATCGATTTCCTACATTTTTCGATAACATACTGTACTTTTCTACTAAGATGCAATATATCCCGAATAAATCGAATTTTTGCAACATTTAGTGAGTCATAAGGTCACAAGTTTGCGGATCTGCAAAATATGTTACGCCAGTAGGGAGGAAACTATCCAATTTTTATAACACAATGTTTTATTCTACAAACCCTTCATATGTGGGTGTATATATTTTTTTTGTGTGACCTCCTGCAGGCCATTCATCCATCACCAACAGTGTACCCACCAGAATGCTTCACCAAGTGCACTTACATTGTCACCAAGTACACGGCTTTCATGTCGCGCAAGTGTAAGTGTCCAAAAGACTTACACTCTGACCAGATGTTCCACTCCAAAGGCCTGACTCGGTACAGTGGCGACGACGATGTCGGGGTTGCAGAGGATGATGGTCCAAACATTTCCAAGGTTTTTGTTTGCATCTTTTGCCAATTATATTTCTGAAATTATATAAATTAACCCAGTTTCTCCCATGGCCTGTGGTCTGCGGACTGGCGCTGGTCTGCAGCAGTTTTTTTTTTTTTTTTTTTCTGGTCTGTGGGACATTTCAACATTTTTTCCCAGCAGATAAGAAAATAAAAAATCTTTTAATGTCAATCTAAAAGTATGATGATGGATGAAGTTCACAAGTGTCATTATACAGTCAAACCCCAATAACACGCCATCATTTGTCCAGAGCAATTCTGGTAGTTTAAAGGGGTTGGCAGTTTATTGAATATTTCATTTTAAATCATTTGATAAAAAATAATTGATTTTCCTTCAAAAGTAATAGAAATACAAGTTTTCCATAAACTTCAGTAATTTTCCAAAGATTATTGCTGTGATTTATTCATTACTCCGTCGGAAAATTAATTTTTCTGTACCAATTTATTCAAATTTTAAAATTAGGTCAATATATTGTTCAAAGTTTTTGAAAAATGAAGATTGTCATTTTGTTTTCTTCTAACCAATACAAGATCCTGGACAGGAAATATAATTGTACCCCAATGTTGGTGTTGTAACAAAGACAAAACTAATACAAAACAGCACTTTTGTTTCATCACTAATGCTGGTGGATGGCGGTTGGCGGCTTATTGAGGTTTTCTATGGAATTTAGTATTGAGGAGATTTGTTTCATTCAAAATTTTGGCGGTTGCCAAGGGTGGCACTTTATCAGGGGGCGTCTTAACGGGGTTTATCACAATTTCCTCGAATAGTAAGAGTATTGAAAAACAGTGACATGATTTTCCATTTGATGACGGAATTTTTTTTTATTCTGAATTTGACAGAGGCAAGACACATCCTACGACGACATACTCAAGGATTCTGCTGAGGCTGAAAATTCGGACGAAAGTGACGTAAACGGTTAGTCGTCAGCCCTAGCCGCTCTTTTCGTCTTGGCGCGGGTAAGGGTTGTTAGGTGTAGAAATGGGTTAAGCAGGAGCTTCCCAAGGTAAAGCGGCTTTAAGTTCCGTCGGTACTCCACATCTTCCACCACTACGTCGACCACAACTCCTCATCCAGAAAGTAGAGCTTTTCAGTTAAATCTAGCAAAAAATAATTATGGAAGTACAGTTGAACCTCTCCAAGTTGAATTTATAGAGACCAAGAAAATAATTCAACTTAGGGAGGTTTCAATTTTTTGAGGTTTTGAGTTAAGGAAACCAACGTTTTTGCTGCAAGGAAAATTAAAAGTATTGTGGGAAATTGTAAATGAGGATATTCTGGGCATAAACTTGCTTCTTAATGAGTTTACAGCTTATTGCAGAGCTTCAAGGCAGGGGTTCATTTTTACCACGTTTTTATGAACTCATTTTCAATTACTCTTTCACTTCATTTCAAGATGCATAAAATCATTTTTTCATTGATTTTTTCTTTCATATTTCAAAGAAACAATAAAAAAAGGCCTAAAATTTTTTTGAATTACAGAGGCTTGAGAGAAAAATACTTTGAGTTAGGGGTTTTTAATGCATTGTTTCTAAAAGAATCCAGGCAGTGACTTGGAAAAAATTTGAGTTAGAGAGTTATTTGACTTGGAGGGGCTTGACTTATCAAGGTTCAACTGTATTTAAATCCGTGTGGAATATTTTGAAGTAGGTCGACACTCGGTTCCAAATTTTTATCTATGTAAAGTTTTACGAAAGAACGGAACTTTTAAAATTACAAAATTCAGTTCAAAGTCGTCTCGTTTCTTTTGGCAGTGTTTTACTACATGCAATACGTTTCATTGGGAATTCAGATACTCGTGAATATTCAAAGAAATTTCATCAAATATAGTTTTAGAGATTTTGAATTAAAAAATTAATGCACTGTGAGAAATTTTTCAGGAAAGCAGTCACGCATTTCAACTGTGAATATAAATTCTCATCCAATAAATGACTCACTTTAAGTTTTAACCGACTGTCGAAAGAAGTACGTTCAATACATGCAATATTTTTAAAAGATTTATCTTCGTTTGTCTCATCATTTTTTCAGCTGAATAAAGAAGATTTTCTAAGGAATAACATGGAACATCAGATGATCAAAAAAAATTCGTTACAACGAATAAATGAAGAGCTGTTTCATTTAAATTTGTGGATATTTTTATTTCATTTTCAAATATTGAATTACTCACAAGTATCAACCCCGGACTTCGGTAAACTCCCATCAAACGAAAGACACTGACTAAATTTTGAGTTGAAAGTCTTTTTTGTATCTCATCAAATGCGGTATTTTTCAAGATTCATAAATTCGTTCTCAAATGTTTTTATTTATGAAGGAAAATGTCTGCTGCGAATTGGCATGATTAAAAATAACATCTCAAAATATAATTATAGGATGTTTTTAATTCAAAACTTTTGATATTTTCATCTTCAAAGATTGTTTTTCTCAGAAGCAATCGTGCTGGACTATCCCTGAATATTAATCGGTATCGAATAAATATGTACAATACACTTTCCCAGCCAATTCTGATTGGTATGCTGCGGCAAAAGCGGTATTTGTCCAAGAAACGAGTTCAATTTATTTCATAATTTTTTTAATGTTTCTCTCCCTGAAGAGAAATTCCCGCGGAATAGCATGGAAGGCGATGATTACTTCATCCAGCTGTGAGCCAAGGTTTAAAAATAGATACATTTCAAAATGCTTTCTTGCCTTGAAAATTTTAATGTTTTAAGTCAAGTTTCAGCAGAGCAAAGAAAACCGTCACAAAATGATGTACGTGTACGTTTCATTGGGAATTCAGATACTCGTGAATATTCAAAGAAATTTCATCGAATGTAGTTTTAGAGATATTGAATCAAAAAATTAATGCACTGTGAGAAATTTTTCAGAAAAGCAGTCACGCATTTCAACTGTGAATATAAATTATCATCCAATAAATGACTCACTTTGATTTTTAACCGACTGTCGAAAGAAGTACGTTCAATACATGCAATATTTTTTAAAGATTTATCTTTGTTTGTCTCATCATTTTTTCAGCTGAATGCAGATTTTCTGAGGAATAACATGGAATATCAGATGATCACGAAAAAATCTTAACAACGAATAAATGAAGAGCTGTTTCATTTAAATTTGTGGATATTTTTATTTCATTTTCAAATATTGAATTACTCACGAGTAGCAACCCCGGACTTTGGTAAACTACCATCAAACGAAAGACACTGACTAAATTTTGAGTTGAAAGTCTTTTTTATAACTCATCAAATGCGGTATTTTTCAAGATTCATAAATTCGTTCTCAAATGTTTTTATTTATGAAGGAAAATGTCTGCTGCGAATTGGCATGATTAAAAATAACATCGCAAAATATAATTATAGGATGTTTTTAATTCAAAACATTTGATATTTTCATCTTCAAAGATTGTTTTTCTCAGAAGCAATCGTGCTGGACTATCCCTGAATATTAATCGGTATCGAATAAATATGAACAATACACTTTCCCAGTCATAAGACTAACCATACGACGCCGTTTTCGCCATAAACAGGTTCTTTGCTCAAGTTAAATAAAGTATTAAAAAAATTACAAAGAGAGGGACTTCTCTTTAAGGGCGCCTTATCGTACCTTCCGCTACTAAATGAACAAGGGGACGCGTATGATGGAGCCGGGGCATACGGCGGATACGACGATGACGCTGTCGCGGACATGACGACGCCGAGGACACAAGAAGACGACGCTGTCGGGACCATGGATCGACACTTGCCGGAGACTGAAGACGAACCCGTTGTCGACACGGAGGATGACGACGAAGACGTCGCCTTGGATAGCGTCATGTCTAAAACCGAGGCTGGCATCAGCCGAGGTCGCAGGGCTTTCAGTGAGTTTGAAAATACAATTCAAGCTCCAGTTTTTGTGTCTATGCTGGACAAAGAAGTAAAATTTTAACGCATTTAAAATTATTTTATTTTTAATTTTTTTAAATCATTTTTAAATTTATTTATTTTTAAAATTATTTTTAAATTTATTCATTTTTAAAATTATTTTTAAATTTATTTATTTTTAAAATTATTTTTAAATTTATTTATTTTTAAAATTATTTTTAAATTTATTTATTTTTAAATTTATTTTTAAATTTATTTATTTTTAAATTTATTTTTACATTTTTTTACAAGGATTATGTTGGTTTTTTGTTGTTGTTGGGACAATGCGTACCTTATTACAGTGAGACCCCCACATGCGGACATCTTGACATGGGGACAATTCAACTTAAAGACATTTATTTTACAATAAAAAAATCGTAAAAGCCCAACATAGGGACACTGACTCAACATGAGGACATTGCATGACGAAATTGCCAATAAATTTTACAAAAATCAACTTTCATATTAGGCTTAATTGCAAGAAACAGATATTTCTAACCCTAAGATCTATGTGAGAAAAATTCTTTGGTACTTTTCCCATCACTTCCCCATCCATTCAGCTAATTTAAAAAAATTACCTGTAGCACAGTGGGACTTCTTTCTCTCTTTGTGACTTGGATGTCATTTCTACAGATGCCAACATTTGAATGAACTGTACAGTGGTATACTATTCAATGCTCCAGATGTTCTTATTAGGTTGAAAAGATATCCACTGAATCAAATTCAAATGGCAAAAATAAATTTCACGGAATTCTGAAGAATATTTCTTCCATAAAACACCAATTAAAAATTATATAATGTAAGTCTATGGGAAAACTAGACTTGGCTTAGGGACAATTCAACTTGAGGACACTTGATGTACCAATTATGTCCTCATCTGGGGGTCTCACTGTATATCCACTACAAATATACAGAACATCAGTGAGACCCCAAAATGGGGACACCCCAACATACAGACAGTATTTGACACATCATTCGATGATCTGGATTTATGCACACAGATGTGCGCAAACGAGAAAAGTCCAGCTGTCCGCAAAACCCGTTCGACGTGTGCAAGCCTCGCAAATGCAAAGCCAGGCCAACAACCTGTGCTCCGAGAACCAAGGAAGACGAGGAGCTGGAACACATCCTGGCCATGGAACGCCAGGAAATGGGGTTGCCGGAGGACCCCTGCGACCCTTCCCTAGAACCCACGACGGAGACCCCCTGCACTACCCCTCCGTGTCCAGCGAAAATTCCGAACCGCAAAATAGGACCCTGTGGACGCCTGGGGCCGGGTTACCTCAGTGCATACGGGGTCTACGCCAAGACTGAGTACAGGGTCATATACAGAGCCAAGAACCTCACTTATGAGGTGGGCAGATTATCTCAAAAGAATTTCATGCATTCAAGCCTAAATTAAAAAAAAAAAAGTTTTCTGAACTTGCATTGAAAATAATAGAGGTAGATTTTTTCAACAACAATTTTGTGTACACAAATTTTCTCTGTAGAATACTTTTTTCTCTCATTTTGAAGTGTTGATTTTTTTCAATTGCATTCTTCTAAGGTCGTATTCCCTTCACTGATTGAATGGGAGACCCTGGATTACGACAAGTACCGCAAGAAGCGCATTACGTCACTAGTGACACGTAGCGGCGGAATGAAATCAATCATGCGTGCATTCAGCTCCGTTTATGCACTAGATGCCGTTCCTGGCGATGACTCAGAGTACACACCACCCTGCATGCTTAGCAGCAAGCCTTCAACAGCTTGGAAACGTAACACCAACGAGACTTGGAGTCCTGACACGCCCGAGGCTAAAGAATGCGTCATAAGGCGAGTTTCTATTTACAAATTCGAGTTCATGCGTCTTCAGTGGCAGGAAAATACATAGAATCCATGACCAAAATGCACCCTACAATAAGGGGATTAACACACCTCGGTGCATGGTACTGTATAAGGTTTTACGTATAAATAACTGCTGGTTACGTGTTCGTAATTGGTTTCGTCTATATACACAAGCCACAAGCAGGGGATCTAGCTTGCAAATGTTTTCAGGGACAAAAAATGAAACCCCCTACACAAAAAAAGACAATTAAAATTCTTCCCATCCTGGAACAGAAGAATAGACGCTTCCACCGTCAGAAATGACGAATTGTAGGTGAATCGCAAGATTTTTACGAGCGCAATACATTAATAATTGATCATCAGAAGTGCATCGTGGATTGTTCAATGTTCTTGCATGTGACCCAAAACAAATTGAATCTTTCTTCCGATTATAATTTTTACAGCTCAGACAATGATGGAGCAGCAGCCAGCAAAGAGAAGTCATGGCGCAACAACGGAGCGTTGGGTATCGTGTCACAGAATCAGGATCATGGAGAGCCTGACCTCCGCATTTCATTCCCAACCAACTCCATTTACCAGCGGATTTTCTCCTCGAATGCACCAGAATCTAAACCACCAGCAGAACCACCCAGCTTCCTTTTCCCTACCAGCACAAAACGGCCCTACCAACTAGGAAATCCGGAACATGCGAGTCCCATACCTCAGATGCAGAAACGGGAACAACACCTAATGGTCAGCACTCCGGCACCGTCCATTCTTCTCGACCCACGTCAGAGACAACAAGACCTTACGAGCAAGACCAAACGAAGCAACGAAAAAGCACCGAACGTTGAAGAACCACATCTGGAAACAAGCACAGTGAAGGATCCGTTCGCGATATCTCCCGCGTTGGTCAACGGGATGCAAGGATTTGATCCTGTCATCATGTCATTGAGTGATTGGACAGTTCCAGGCGCCGCCGGTGCCATGGACCTGACCCCGGAGATGAGGAAGAAAATGATCATCCGACGCCAACAGGAATATTTCAAGCAGTACTTGCAGCAGTGGTACGCTAGTATGACTTCTCATTTCATGAAAATGAAGCAAGCAAAAAGGCAAGAAACTGAGAAACAGTCTACAGGCACCCCTAAAACTTGATGGGTTATAGATTTGATGAGAATAAAAAGCAGACTGTTTATGAAGGAGCGTTTACCATATGCATTTCCATCCAACCTTGTGAAATGGAAAGGCGTTGCGCAGTACAGTATAGAACATTAATACAGTAATGTACAGCACTGTACTTTCATATTTCCAGACGAGCTGCTCTCCCCGAAGAAAATTGTTTCTATACAGATGCATCCTGGCTGTACGGTACTTTAGTTTGACATTGCTATTGCGCAATAGGGGTTTACCAAAAGTAGATGCATGGGAGAAGGGCGAGAAGCTCTCGTGGATTAGTTTTGGAATCATGCACAAAATAATTCAATGACACATTATTCTTCTGAAAACTATTTTAAAATGCATGAATTGATCTTCGAATTGTATGTCACGCAATTTTTTTCTTTATTTTTTACCTTGTGAATGTTGTGACTGATCATCGAGTCGACCTTCGTACGACATGGAACCGTTTTTGCACTGCCAAGTGCCAACTGCCTGCGCAGTGGAACGACTGCTGAAACCTCACTACCATTGCACAGAACACAGAACATTGACGTGTTTCACGGCTGCTGCTGCTCCTCTATCCTCAAACTTTCAATTATCTTTTATTCGGCGTGGCTGCCCTGCTGTACAGATGTCTTCTCGGATTCATGGAAATGCTTCCCAAACTTTTTTTCTCTGATCCTACGAAACTAAAAATCTAGCCATAGATTATAAAGAGAGAATAACAAGTGTTGATGGATATAAATCAGGAGCATTATAAACTTGGTGGCAATCGGTTGTTGGCCGGATGCCTTATTCCAGCACAACTTTCATTAAGAACCATGTCAGGCCGATTGATGACAAAATAAAACAGAGAGAATGAAACGCAGTCACTCAGCCTTTAACGGCCGGATCCTCTTTAACAGAGTCCCTTTAGAGTAATCAGCTTTATCCAGACACACACAACCACAGAAGGATACAAAGTACCCAGAGGTACACGTAATCGCGCTAGGACGCAAGTAGCAATTCACAGCTAGGTAAATCCGCTCGCTCTCGGTAGCAGCACTCCAGATGTAATGTTCTTTTTCCCGAAGCCCCGAAGGCTTCGGGAGCCGGCGTTCGCTGCCGGATATGACTGTCTTTGTTCTTGACCCGGTTTACCGCAATGCGGTAAACCGGGCGCCCTATCCGCTTCTGGGTTGGCGTGTAGGAGTTGCTGTGCGGTATACCCGAGCGAGGATGCTACGCTCGGGTTGCCGCGTGAACGCGACCCCTCAAACCACTCAACTCAGGGCTTCCTCTTTCACTCCATACTTGCCAGCCCCACTCTCTCTTAGAGCCGCCAGCAGCTTTCAGGGAGTGCCTTTAATTGTAATGATTTAGGTGTAGAACATGTAGATTATGGGTAGAAATCTACGTCTTCTAGGGAAGAAAAGATGGCGCACATTACGGAAAATTCAGGTAAATAGTAAACTTGAGGTTAGATTATTTTAATTTTCAATCAAATAGTATATTGTCTTCGAACAACAATTTCAACACAAAATTCATATTCAACCAGTACTACTCATAAAGTCACTCATTGGTGGTCTTCAGGAGAGGGAGTGGTAGTGAATAGCCCCCTAGCAGAGGAGCGTGGAAGTAAGCGGCGGTGAGCTGAAAACAATGCTGGTACGTTCAGGCACTACTGCGCTGGGCCTGCCGAAGTCCCAAAGCCCCTGCGGACGTTCAAGTTCGGGCAGTGCCGCGTTGCTTTTTATGTAGTCGCACTAATGGATGAATTGGTACATCGCAAGTCGTGAAAATTGAACTGTTGATCACCGATGAGTAGCAGTTCTGAAGTTTTCCTTGTGTCAGTGTCAGCAAGCTTCATTTCAAGATTTGTGCGCATATTCATCATCGCAGTCGCGTATATCCACGAACGGTTGACGTGCACAGTATTTCGGCTTTATGGTTTTACGCAGATCGCTGTGTTACTACGTATGCTGAACTTTTGACACGGTTTCATTCAGCGCTTCCCTTTTAAAGTTTGTCTGATGATATGTGCACTTTTCCAGGAATTTTGAACTGTTGAACGTCCAGTTTCATTTGATCGAACTCCTCTGTTGAAAATGGTGAGTTTCAGTCGTGCTTGAGAGGTACAGAGTATGAAAATACGTCTGGATTTTTTACAGGCGGAACCTATTCGTGTTCTCATCACTGGTGCTGCTGGTCAAATTGCCTACTCTCTGATCTACATGGTCTCGAGTGGCGAAGTATTCGGTAAGGATCAGCCGATCATCCTGCATCTGTTGGACATTCCACCAATGACGAAGGTTTTGGAAGGAGTTTGCATGGAAATTAACGACTGTGCCCTCCCAATTGTTCGAGGTACAATACGCTGCGTGGAAAATCCTTCCGTTGAATTTTACTGAATCATTATTTTTGATGAGCAGAAGTTGTTGCCACCACCAATGTTGCCGAAGCATTCAAGGATATTTCTGCCGCATTCTTGGTTGGTGCTATGCCAAGGAAGCAGGGAATGGAGAGGAAAGATCTTCTTTCTGCAAATGTTCGGATCTTCAAGGAGCAGGTATGCAGAATACTTAATGAAGAATTTTTCACCGATTTCGTTCGTAGTTGATTCAATTTTGTATTTCATTCAACTTCGTAGGGTCAAGCTCTGGACCAACATGCGAAGAAGGACGTGAAAGTATTGGTTGTTGGAAATCCAGCCAACACAAATGCCCTGATCTGCTCGAAGTATGCCCCATCCATCCCAAAGGAGAATTTCTCTGCCATGACCCGTTTGGACCAGAATCGCGGCCAGTCTCAAATTGCAGTTCGATGTGGGGTTCCCATCACTAATGTGAAGAATGTCATCATCTGGGGTAACCACTCCTCCACGCAGTACCCAGACATCAACCATGCCGAGGTGATCACTGCTGGTGGTGATAAGAAGAAGGTCCGGGATGCTGTGAACGACGATGCTTGGCTCAATGATACCTTCATATCTGTAAGTCAGGGTGAAAATGTTTTCTCAATTTTAACAAGTGTTGCCAACTCATTTGAAATCCTGTGATTCCCTTAGTTGTAAATGAACTGAACAATTACGAAAACCCGACTATTCCATTTTAGGAACCTTGACTGGTCACCCACCTTATCACCTTGTTTTTCCAGACTGTTCAAAAACGTGGAGCTGCAGTGATCGCGGCTCGTGGGCTGTCATCAGCCATGTCAGCTGCGAAGGCTGCCAGTGATCACATGCGTGATTGGTGGCAAGGCACTGATGGACGCTGGGTTTCGATGGGTGTTTTCTCAGACGGGTCATATGGCACACCCGCGGAAGTCATGTACTCGTTCCCTGTCACGTGCGCGAACAAGAAGTGGACTATTGTTCAAGGACTGGCGATTGACGACTTCTCGAGGCAAAAGTTGGACTCTACTGGCAATGAACTGATGGAAGAACGCGGCGAGGCTATTGCTGCTTGCGAGGCCTAAATTAGACAGGCGTGTTTTGCTATAGGTCTCTTCATTGTGGGCCTGTTGAAAACTTGAGTCCGTTTCTCAGATGTGTTAGTTGTAAGAGTTGTTCTGTATTTTCTGCTGCTTCATGAAAGCGTACAGTTTCTCCATCAAGAAAATTTAAGCTGCCAGAGGCCTGTGCCTTTTTTGTTGGTTTCAGGATTAAACAAGTTTTCAATAGTTCCGATGGAAGGGCGTATCTTCGATAGCTGCGTAGGTCAGCGTATGTGGTGTGGTGCTCCAAAAAATGTGTACGGCTCTATGCTGTCCTCTATTTAGGTTCTATAATTTTATTCAGTCGAGATCAAAAATGCGGTGATTTTGTTTTTCTGTCGACAAATGGCTATGTGAACGCATGCATGATGGAAGGGATTCAGTCTTAGCAGTGCAATTTTTCGAGTGTTCAGTCGTAATTATCCCCATCCAGTGCAGAGCAGAGTTGAAAAGATTCCATTTGTCGAGAAAGTGCTTAACTAGTTTGAATTACTAGCGTTACAGAATTGACATTCACTGGTTGTGGTGGGCAAAATATAGTGGCAAGAGAAAAATGAACTTCCGTTTCTGTTCATTATGAAGCTTTCACTTTTCGTCCGCTTGGATTTCAGCCAAGTGTTCTGTTTCCACCCCAGGTACGCCAAGTATTCCACTGCTGACGTGAATGTACTGTAGTTCCCTCAGTGATTTGGGCTCTTTCATTCGTTCAAAACTGTATTGTCAATTCCGGTTTAAGGAAAATTCTGATGTTGCCACGCTTTCAAAAGCACGTTTTTCAGGTTGTGTTTATGTCGAGATCCACCGCCTCACGTGATCTCCGCGCTATTCACGTTTACGTTGTGCAATCATTTATGGCATTGCGCGATGGGAAAAAATTAATCCACTCTCAGCACGGGATTCAATTCAATTTTTTTGACGAAACCTCTGCAATCCGCTTATTTTTGCCTTGTCCATTTACTCATGTTCATGCAGTATTTGAATGGTCGACGGAACAGGGAATTTACTTGGAAATCGTGGGAGTTTCAAGATCCCCAGATTCAAAGAAAGCGCTGAATACAGTAATTCATGTGCCTGATTCCAGCGTTTCAGTATAGTACAGTAATTGAAACATTACCGTAATATTTGTCCATTCCGTAATTTCCTGACAAGAATGAATTCAGCTCTTCGCTGTTAACTAGCTTTTGTAGAAGGAATAATCGCCCTGATCTATTTTGCAGGCTCCGGAGGAATACAGCAGTGTTGTGGACACGAGAGGAAGAGAAAGAGTACTGTACTTTGTTTCCAGGTCTTTATTATTCATTGTTCGTGTACTATGTAAGTGACGCACATCAATGCATGCTGGAAGGACGAGCCTTCCTTCAAATCGTTCCTATTTGAGAAAGCTTCACCGAAGCTTTCTCAAATAGGCAATGTCGTCTTTGCATTGTTACCCCGTTCCTGTAATGCTCCTTTTTACATTTTGGCGTGTGGAATGAATTTGTTAAGTTACTCTGTCTGCGGCAGGAGACGGACAACATTTTCTATTGAAATTTCAGCCATTTTTTTTTCTTATTGATGATCGACGGGTTTTATGGTGAATTTTTCTTAAGAAAATCTACTAGCATGTTCCGTCAGTTGAACTGAGCAATGTCATTCTGATTTTTTTTTTAATTTCAAGATAAAACGTGGATGTCAGGGAAAATCTGATTTCTTTGCTTCATATCATTGAGCTTGTACCGTTGTACGTGATTTTTAATGCAAGATTTGTATTGGCCAGACCTTCGGCGATGTGTGATTTCAGTTTTCTTTTCTGTTCGTCCGTATGACCCATGATTTTAATTGTATTTTTGTTGAATAAGGCACGTGAGATGAATAATTGAAAACGTGTACAGTATTCGTAAACTTGCAACGAATAGCATAAATCTATTAATTGTTGTTGTAGCTGATAGTGAACACAGACGATTTATTTCCGTGGCGTGCACTATCAGCTACCGGACACGTTTTATGGTAACAGAAACGCTTCTTCGACTTCACGTGAAGGAAAATTTTACCCAATATGAACTTGATGGAAGTTTTATAAGCAGGGACGAGATTCTATATAAGCAGGCTGAAGGATATAAAGTCATAAAATGAGCTGTCAGTCGTGGATAATCTTCTGGAATGAGGGATTTCTTATTCCTCTCACGGCCTGCATGTGGATCATCACTTAGTTTTAGCCTGTCGTCACGTAATTGTTGTCATCTCAGGTAGACTGGCAACAAAAAAAGTAACTCGAGAAAGAAAGTGAAAACCCGAATTGTGCAAAAATAGCTTACTCCCAATTTCAGCATCCTGCCAACTCAATTAAGAAAGCAATTTAAGGGCGCGAGGATATATTAACAGTAACGATTTTCTGTAATTATTTCTTTCCCTCCATCAGTAAAAATACTTGTTTGTGTTCTAAAAACATCCCTACATTGCATTTTGTATGGTCTCTTACTGAAGTTTTACTGAAGTGCATTATATTTTTCTTACAATATTTTCTTCATGCAGATGAAAGGAGTGTACTCCAATTATGATGGATAGAGAAAATGCGTTGCACTAGTAATATTGCTTTTAGAAAGGCGTTTATACAGGTGTTTTCCGATGTAAAAGGATTCTGGAAACTTGTATGGAAGTTCGTTTCATGTACTGTATATGAAATCTCACTGTAATGTTCAATTGGACCAAGTTGAGTCCACTTCGAGTAATAATATTGAAGGTTTGTCATTTGGGGGGTACGATTGAAAATATTCACTTCAGCAAAGATTCGTCAGTGAAGAGAGCCGGAATTTATTAATCATGAGTCTCCCGAAGTTCGATTTGAGCGAGGACTCCACAAGAATATATTTCCCATTTTTATTCCAATTGATCATTTATGTCAATTGATTAACCGACATATATTTCCTTGGTTATCGTGAATTCGGACATGTGTGCTTCAAGAACTTTGCTGGCAATTGAAAAAATGGCGAGTGATTCAACAGATCTTCCCAAGTGTTCTCTTACTGCATGATGAGCTGGTATTTTATAGTTACTGTAAATAATAATGTACATTATTGAAAAATTTGAGTGATGAATTATTCGTTTTTCAGGTGAAAAAGGCTTGGAGCAAAAAATGTTTCGGAACGCAGGGTTTTTTCTCTGACACACCTATATATATGCACAATCCAGATGGTGATGGAATTCCCGTTAATTTAATTTTTTTTAGCAAGAAGGTACCCCTCGGAAAAATTTCAGAACGGAATCTCGGCCACGAACCGGTGATGCGTTACAGTGATGGGAGTGGGACTGACGGGAAATAGTTCTTTAATCCCCGGTATGTGGATCACCCGTGGTTCTGATGGATCCATGTGCAGTTACCATCATTGATTACAGGTGGTGAGCATTATTGAGAGCGTCCCTGGCTGACCGTGTGCACGTGCATCCCATTATAATTAATCCCCGGTATGTGGATCACCCGTGGTTCTGATGGATCCATGTGCAGTTACCATCATTGATTACAGGTGGTGAGCATTATTGAGAGCGTCCCTGGCTGACCGTGTGCACGTGCATCCCATTATAGTATTAGACAGGGTAATTTGTGTGCCACATATCTGTGCAGGCTGGAGAACTGATGCTGATGTCCTTTGATTATTTGAAATCGCGGACGATGTGCGCTTCAAATATCATCTGGAGGTTCGTCCGTTCCTTTACTTTAACAGTATACTAGTATAAAGGGTTAATGCCATTACATTACAGGTGGTACCTGGCAACTCAACCTTCCGCAATAATTCGACCATCCTGCAATTTGATTGTTGAATTTGCTGGGAGGTTGACTCTTCATTTTATCTGTGTAGAGACATGAAACGTCAAATAGTGCTTAGAAAACATGCGATTTGACGTTGTCTTGCAATATTCAACTGCTTTGCAATTTGACCCTAGTCCAGGTCTCCAGGAACAGATTAAGGTCAAATTGCAAGGTACCAGGACCTGTATTATTGGATGAAGTATACAGCTGAAAAATCACTTTTTTCCTCCATACAAATGCTTGTTTTGCTACTGGAAACCTCCTCAACTTGAATTTTTTGCTGGTCCCTAATTAAAGTTTGACTTGAAGAGATTTATGACTGTGTGACAGTATACCAGGGTTTAAAAATGCTTTGCATAAGAAATAACCTATTGATTTTTTTACCTGTCAAACCGGCATGCTTCGGGTATAATGGACAACAAAATGTAACGGATAATCCTCTGCGCTGGGGATGAAGAAAAATTCTGAATTTCTGTGACTTTCATAACTTTTATATAACAGCTACAGACAGGGCAGGTGGGAAGTATTTTGGTGGCTGTACAGTACTGTACTTTACTTCTTTGGATTTTCATATGATATTCCTTCTTAAGTGCGAGACCAGCAGCAGCATGCGTACGTTCATTTAATTAGCTCTTAGCATTATTTTATGTGAAAATACAAGTATATGTAGCTCTGAATTTAAATCAGTATATAATATACGATACATATGTGTAATCTCTCCACCAGAAAATCCATGGGACCAGAAAATAAGTATAAGTCTTATATACAAGCAGTGAAATCTACATTACACTGCTGTACCTATAGAAAATGATGCGCTGGTGTCTCTTATGCACATGAACATATATATCTGTGAATTCTAGTCAAAGTTGGCATTAAGTCCGTCCGTATTACAAAAATAGAGGATAAAATAGAGGAAACGAAAACTTGATGGAAAGCTGAGCTGCCATATTTTATTGTGAGCTGAGCATTATTATAAACGCGCACAAAATCCGAAAAGTTGCATACGGTACTCGTTCTTTTGTTCGAAGCAATGGCAGAGCGTATTTTTGAAACGCATTCGGCTTTCATCAGGTACATTAGGTACTACAGTACATGATTTTGTGTGCATCGTGTTGAATACTTGTATACTGATGCATGCACAAATGCGCGGTGTTCATCGATTCTTATTCGCGTCGTTTTGCTCGTCGTCGATCAATGTATCGGTAATAGATGGACCCCATATTGTGACAGACAAAGACTTTTTTCGTGTGCTTTGATATGATTAAATACATCCATTATGCTTGTGCATGAACCACGTCAGCACAGTTCTGTCATATCGCCGAGTCCGCAGGCCTCCCCTGCGGATCAAAGAGCAGTAGAAGTCAGTATATATATACACGCGACGCTTTTGTCACGATGAATGACAGGAAGGTGGAAGATCCCACAGCAACAGTTCAATTTATTTTGTAGACTTATCTCCTCTTTCAATTTTTATCAATGGTTTCTCCAAAAATAATATCTATCGACTTCAGAATAAGCCCAGGAGATATTTTGCCATGATGCTGCCCGCCGGACTCGCAATACATAATGTGGCTTAAAAGACTGTTGAATACGGGTGAACCTTGATGACTCAATTATTTTCATTTATTATACTGTTTGTAATACGGAGACGGATTTTGGCGGTTGATTCCCAGTTGTCTCAGAACTAATTTTTGATAACAAGGTGTAGACATTTGCCCGCTGAAAACAAACTCATCCATTCCTTAAAAAGATTTCCCCACAGATACAGACGTTT